CTAGGACATAACAATACTGTTCTCCTGATTCCATCTATCATATTCAACACTCCCAGAGGATGGTTCTTTTATCCTCCCATTAATATAGCCTATCTTCCCCCTTGCAGTGATGTATAATTTGATCCCTCTTGACCACTCCAGGTAATTTAAACCATCAAGAGGGACAACAGCCATAGGAAATGATAGGTCACCCCCACCCATTCCATTTAGCATTGAAGAAACTCCAGATGTGGCTGAATCTTCACTGCCCATGATATCAGAATAAAAACGAAACAACAACCAAATGAGTACTGCCGTACAAGGCTATTGCAGAAACAGGTCCTTCTGACCTCCAGTTTCACTGGGAGCAAAATCAGAACACTGCTGTTGCAGTACTGAAACAGGTCTTTCTGACCTACGGTTTCACTGAGAACAAAAAAAAAAAAAAACTGAACATTGTTGTTGCAGTACTGAAACAGGTCCTTCTGACCTACGGTTTCACTGAGAACAAAGTCTGAACACTGCTGTTGCAGTACAAGAACAGGTCTGTATGACCTACGATTTTGTAGGAATCAAAATAAAAAAACCCTGCAGTTGCAGTACATCACTACGTCTTAATGACCTAATCAGTAGGCCTGATAGCCAACCAGTTGATGAGATCAACAGGATAGCCGAACAGTCAATCAATAAGATTAATACAATATCAGCTTCAGGGCATCAACAGTCCATAATACCAAAAAAAAAGAGTTGAATACAGTTACTTTGTTAAGGAACACAGTCACTCAACAGTCCATCAATCGGCTGAATAGACAATCAGTAGGGCAGCCGAACAGAAGATGACTAGTACTTCTTTTAGTTTCAGATGATAGTCTCCCTGTAACCCAGAACTCCCTCTACGAACCTCAAACAATAGGCAGCCGAGCAGAAGATGACCAGTACCTCTTTTAGTTTCAGATGATAGTCTCTCTGTAAACCAGAACTCCCTCTACGAACCTCAAACAATAGCCTCTCTACAGTCGAGCAGACAAGAGGTGCA